TATCGAGCAGCGGTAAACGGTTGGGCCTGCAACATGTGCTGTACCAAACGGTCCCGAGGCATACAGTGGGAAACAGGGGAAAGAGGGACTGCAACTGCTCATGCCCGGTGGGGACATTAGAGTTAAAACATTTTTCAAATAGAAGAAACTAAAACACCTGCAAATTTATCATGTCATACATAAGTGAGTGCAGAGATGAAGATGTGAGTTGAGAGGAGAGAGCAAATCAAAAGTACAACGGGATTCTTGAAAAAAGATGTGCTTTAATTCTGCTTTAAAACAAAGCACTTTGATAGGAATAAGAAGACACATCAACACCTTTGAGCAAAATTCATTGAGTAATAGTTGAACAAGATGCTACTTATTTGATGAGACCAATTTTGTTCTTGTAATATATCACATTTCTGACTGTTGCCAACAGATGTATAGAAAAATGTATGCTGATATTTATATTAAAATTCTGTGGTTTCCAAAAATAGAACTGTCAGAAGAAAAATAAAATAAAAATCAGCCACACTGTAAAAATCTTGACTAGACGCTAAAACCATGTTCTGTTTGGTCAGGGCACGATGCACACAGTGTCGTTGTCTGCCTTCAGGAGTGCCATCAACTTCAGAAGCTGCCTCTGCAAGCACACAGGCAGCATGTGTCAATGCTCAATGTATTTTTGCTTTCTCACCCTCTCAAACTCTTTAGACTTTTAATCCATAAAGTACAAAATGCTGATTGATTCTCATTTTTGTACGCTGATGATGAATTTGCAGGTTTCCAAATACTTTACAAGAGAGGCAACAAAACCTGATATGCAAATTCCATATGGCCCACAATTTAAAGGAAAAAGGGTTCATTCTGCCCAATGTAGTTGGAAAGCTTACCTTGACATCTTTTAGTTCTGCACACGTTTTTTCATTTTCTTGTTGATATCTTGAAATAATCTGCTCTTGAGACTTCATTTCATTTTGCAGAGCGAGAACAGATTGCTCCTAAAATATTTGGTTGTTTTTAATTTAATTGAAAAATCCTATGGTTTTGGAGATTTACAAGATTGCATACTCACTTGTTTGTTGGTTGTACACAGTTCTTCTCGCACCTGGTTAAGTTGTCCTTCGTGATGTCGACGAAGTTCAGCAACTTCTCTTTCATGCTGCCGTCTCAACCAATCAAGATCCGCTGCAGGTAGGTAATATAAGAGCTTTTGAATATTCTTAAATATTTTTAAATAGATCAAGCTAAAATGGTATTTACCTTTCAGCTTAAGACATCTTTTACGTTCCTCAAGAAATTCATGTTCCAAATTGAAACAACCAGGAATGTCAAAAGAAGGAGTATCCAAGCCTGGGACTGGTAGAGAAAGTTTTAAATCTGGAAAGTCACCACTGAGATGAGGCTTCAAAGTACCATCCACTTCCTTACGTATCTGCTCATATATTCGCTTGTATGTAACTTCAAGAGGAGTTCCCGCAATATGAGCAGGAAGAGCCCCTTCTTGCTGAAGGCTCCTAGAAGATAGCACCGGTTGATGACTACTTAAACTAACACTTTCAGTCTCATTAATTTCTTTTCCTAATATTGAAGATTCAATTGTATGTGTTATGTTGAGGAGTCTTTGTTGAGATGAACATCTCACAGAGTCTAGATAATTCTGCTCATCTCCCAGAGTGGTCTTCAGTGATCCTGAGTGATTTGATGAGCCTGATGCACTGCTGGAACTTATGCTCTTTGGTTTGGATCGGAAATGTAAGTGAGCATTCTGCCCGTCAAGTAGAGTCTCAGCTTCTCGTAGAATATCTTCAATATTTCTATCACCACTGGCTCCTGTACACAGAGAAGCTTAAAATGTAATAGAAGGTACACCAATACTAGTACCGTAAACATTCACAATGGACCTGCAAATTATACCTGATTCCAGATTGTTGGCATGCAATTTACTCATCTGCTCAAGTATACTAGCTACATCATCATCACTGGTATCTGAAAACAAAGCAAACATTTAATTTGATTGCAAAACATTAAAATATTAGACTGCACATCATTTAGGTAATAATTTTGACTCACCAGCTATATCATTAGGATGGACCCCCATTGATAAATAAAGCTCCTACATAAAGAACAAGACAATATTGAAATACATTAGGTATTTGATACTGTGTAGGATGAAAAAATATTGAACCCAGGACAGGCTGATTATCTTTAAAAGTATCTAGCATGGAAAGGTACTTCACAATAAAAAGGAAGGGACCTAGGTATGAAGGCCGATGAAAAGAATTTTGAACAAAAAACAACTAAGTGAGTATACCTTGCATAATTTTTCTTGTTGAATAAATGAAGCAGTAGATGAAGGACCGGGAACAGTCCCTCTGTTTGAAGTGCTGGGATCGGTGGAGGAAGTACTTTCAGTAACGTCCTCCATGTCGACATCATCCTTGACCTTCATTTTTGACTGAAAAAGGCAAAGAAAACTTTATGAAACTAGTGTGGTGAGTAAGAATAACTTCCAAATTACCTATAAATCAGTTTACTGATAAGTAACTGAAGTAATCAAGAAATTAATGTTTAAGTCAATTGCAAGATAAGATGCAACTGAAACATTAAACAATAGATGGATCAGTTCTATGCGTGCATTCAGATAACACCAAAAGAAAATTCAAATACAGTTAATGACATTTTGACATATGACAGCTCCTTAACCCTAGAGGAAGGCATTGATGATTGGTGCTTACCTTCACTTTTTTGTACATTGGTAAATGTATCGTCGAAAACTTTTATCATTGAAACAGCAAAATTAAATTAACTGTAAATCATCAAATAACGGAAACTTGGGGAAGTGCATCAGAAGACAGTAAGATCAAAGTAAATGTATGGACGTTTAACGAGAGAAACAGCAGACGACAAAACAAAACCAATAACCGAACGAGACAGACACGCACACCAACAAGACCATACCTAAGTCTAAAAAGAACATTCCATATT